AATGGAAGATGATTGCCTGAGGTGAAGTGACTCTGAGAGTTGATGCAATTCACAGCTTAATTAACTCTTGAGCCAATAGACAAAGTTGTATCTCTTTCAAATGTTGTAAAATGTACAGATGTAGCCGTTCCTAGTTGTCTTCTAGGATTAACTGTTCTTTATGCCAGTTTAGTTGTTATCTAGGGAGGAGTTTTCCTGGGGACAGCACAGTAGTTTAGCTGTTAATCTGTAAATACCAAACCTTTGTTGCTTGCATTGCATATTTAGGATTGTATTGTAATGTATGTTTTAGAAGAAAAAGTTGTCTGTCAGGTTTGTTTAGGTAGGCATGAATGCCTAATTCAGTGGGAGTCAACGAAATGGAATCCTAGGTTGTATTTCCATGTTGCACAGATCCCTAATGTGGCAATCTTGTTTTGAATGGGTCAGGTTGATTTGGTTCCAGGCAGTCTAGAATAAGTTAAACTGGGAAGACTGAAGAAATGAGAGGAACAAAAGGGAGATTAAGTATCAAAGGTTAGCTTCCAAGACTGTGTAAAATTAGTATAACAACTAAAAGTTGTAAGGTTTAGCATCAGCTCCCCACACTTTGTCGTGGGCTGCCATGCAACACACAGAGTACACAGCACGAGTGCAGAGAGGAGAGTGATCAAAAAGAGGAAAAACAAACAATGCTGTTTTCTCTTTTTAAAGTAAGTCTTTCTGTGTACTTTCCACAGTATCATATACCTTCCTATTGCTTTTGGTTTTGTGAGGGTGCTGGGTATTTTTAAAGACTTTTCATCTGCTTCTAGAGGAGAAAGCTGACAAATCACTAAACCCACATATGGGTTACAGAGGAAACTCTGCTGTCTCCAAGTCTGAGAATCCTTGCTGCTAGGGTTGGCATTCTCATGGGATGATTCCCAATAATAAACTGAGCAAGATTTAAAAACTAAATTTAAGTAATAGTCAACCTAATAAGTAATGAATGCTGAATTAATTGCTTGTTGTATCAGTAGCAGTTAATTAAAATACCAGTGAAAGCTCAGAAAAACTGACAGCTACTCACTGAAATTGCAAGTGTGCCATAAACTGTGCAGTGTTGTGTATTTCTGTGGAACACACATACAAAGGAAATGGTTCATATGACTGATTAGCTGGCACAAGTGCTATGCACAAATGTCTCTGCTAATATTATAATCCATGTGAAATAGTGACTAACCTTCTTAAAGAGTATAATAATGGGACTATTCTGAAAAGTTTCAGTAGCCTCAAGATCTACACAGATTCACGAGTTGAAAGTGTTGAACAAATAGGTATGACTCAACTCTAATTAACATATACCCAAATATGTTTGAACAGATTCTACTGTAACTGTCTTTTGTTACCTCCTATATTTGCACACCAATTTAAGGTCTGCACTTCTGAGTAAGGCCAGTAGCAATTGATCTGCAGTGAAGCGAGCAATGTACAATGTGGAGTCCCAAATGGTACACACATGTTTGGAGAAAAGGAGGATTATTAATACTATTGAAATACCAATCAAAGTGCTTCAGCAGGCACCAGGCAGCTGCAAAACATTTAGGGACACCTCAGGAATTCCCTTGAGCAGAAGTGAGACAGGAAATAGTGAGAAGCTGAATAAAGTAGCTGAGGAAAATGCCTTTATTTAAAAGAGGGATGGATTCAAAAGAAGTTCAGCACATTCCAGTGCAGAAGACATCAAAGAAAAGAGATTAGGATTAATCGGAAAAGGAGAGGAAATATTGGATACAGAAAATGTAAATTTTAAAATTGAAATTTAAAACTTTCTTTCACATTATCTGGAACTTTGTCTTCAAAAAGTAACTTGCTAGTTGTGATAGTAATTGAGTCAAAGGTAGTCATTCCTGTCTGCTTACACAGTTATGGAGAAATGCCATTTAGTCATTACATTGAATTTAGGGAACTTCACTTTACAAGTCTGTTAATAGCGATGAGCCAAATTTTTGCGCAGTGTGTTTTAGTACCTGTTCGTTTTGAAAAGAAATTTGGCAATGCTCTAACAAATGCTAGTGGAGTGGCTACTTTGATAGTCTCATATTCTGAGACAGGGTAAGTTTGGGACCAGAAAACGTTCTAAGCATCAGTCCTTTAAATGTGATGGTGGAGCTATAGGGTGTGGTAAGCCACACAGTGTAGAGAGACAGAGCAGAAAAACTGTACCAAGAGGAGATCTGCAGCCACTGCCATGGCAGAGTGCTGAGGAGCCAAGGCAAAGGGCTGTGTCTGTGTCCTTGTGATTACTCGGGAGTGCAAGGTGCTAGCGGTCATCTTGAACCAGCATCCAGCAGCTACTCGGAGTGGGAGCTCCCAGTGTGCTGATCTGGCATCCTCGTGGCAAGAGTGAATGTGGTCACTTGCCAAGAAACAGCCATGTTTTGGGGTTTTTTTAGCTTTTACCCAGAGAAGCAGGCAGGGTGTGTTGGATGGTGCCTTTTAAACAGGAGGGCTGGAAGCTGAAACCAGAACATTCCGTGGCAACTGGAGAAAGTTCTGAGGAAAGTGCTCTGAGAGAGGCAGGACCCCCCTCCCCCTGCCTAGAGGAGAGACAAAGAACAGGCGAGGAGGGAACTGAAATAGGAAGCAGGAACCATGTCAGGAGGCTGGGGGCTAAAAGAAAGCAAATTAATAAACCACTGGGGGAAAGGCACGCAACTGTCCAAAGCCACTAGGAAAGATAAGCAAATTCCAGATTCTTTAACTGCTCTGTGTGTGTGTGCTTGCAGCCTGGCGAGTGAGTTAAACATAATCATTTTCCTCACTGTAGCAAGTACAAATTGTGTGTCTGTGGCACACAGACTTAAGAGAATACGAGCACTGTGTTATCTATATAATAGGGTGTATTTAAGCTGGGTTTGTCAGCATTGCTATCACTCCACCTCGAACTTCTCAAGTAAATGTTCACATCAGGATGTGTGCACACATAGTGCAGTAATAAAAAGTTACTGGTAATATTCTGACTGCAGTAGAGACAAACAGTTCCTATCAAAAGCAGGAGAAATCTGGTGTACAGGCTGAGGGCACTGTGTGGCCTTAAGTGTTAATGTAGTATTTTGGAAGTTAGAAGCTTGGTGCGCTCATTTACACATCAGTACCCAGAATGCTTTTTCAGTTCCACCACTATTTAATTCAAGTGCTGGGTTTGAGCTTTTGGAAAGCTCTGTAGTTTGTGATGCCCTCACATGTGCCAAGTTCAGTATTTTCCACAGAATAGTTTAAGTGACGATATTAGATCGTGAATAGGTAGTCCAAGCATTCTTAATTAGGCTTGATGTTACAAATGCAAAAAAGCGTCCTTGAACACTTTTTTCCAAGCGTTGTCTTTGACAAAACAAAGTCTGTTTGGAGAGTATGTGTGTGTGTGTGTGATACATATGGGGGAGATGCTTCTTCAAAAGTAGAGAACAATTTTTGTCTGAGACAGAAAGCAGACTTCAGCTGCAAATGAGTAATGATAATGATGATGTTGAAATAGCAGCTCTTCATAGAAAGACCTCGAGCACACAGGGAAGATTCAGCACTAGGACAGTCCAGGCAACCCCACGCAGTGAATTCGCCAGTGCATTTTGGAGCGTTTAACCTGGGCCCGGGGAAGGTAACTTGAGGGAGCGGGAGCCTCGCCGCGCTGGGGCGTGGGGCGCTCCGGGCGCCGTGGGAACCCCGGCTGCGCGGGAGGGGCTCCGCGGGCAGCACTTTCCCCAACATGGACGCGCTCGGGGCTGTGAGGTGCCCGTGCCTCCCGCAGCCCCCGGCCCGCGGGTACCGTTCCTCCCAACCGCTCTCGAGGGGAGGGCATTTTCGTACTGGAAGAATTCCCGCTGTACCCCTTCCCTCCCCCACAATGCCGGCGCCTCGCTCTTCTAGCGAGGCTGAGAGTTGATCGTGTACGGGGGGTGGGGGTGAGAAATGCAATGAAAGACCGGGGGGAGGCCGGTCTGCGCTGCAGCCCCTGGCCCCTCTGGGATCGGCTCTCCTCAGGCGAGCCGAGGAGGTGGGGGCCGCTCTGCGCCTCTGCAGCTCCGGGAGGGTTTGCATTGGACGATTCGCGCCTGGGGAGGGGGGAAGGTTGCCTGCAGCCCCCCCCGCCGGCCCCTCCTCCTCTCTCCAGCGGGAGGGGGCCTGGGGGGCGAGCTGCAGCCCGGATATTTGGGGGAGGGGGCGAGCGCAGCCCCACCACCCCCGTGAGCCGCGGGCGGGGGCCTCACTGCCGGCTCGGCATTGGAGGATCGGTGCTGGGGAAGGGGGAGACTGCAGCCCCCAGCCCCCGCGGGCGGGCGGGGTGGGGGCTGGCCTGCTGGCTCTGGCTGCTCTTGCATTGGCGGATGCGGGGAGGGAGGGGGGCAGGAAGC